GTGCAACACAGAAAAAATATCAGGGAATGTGTTTGAAGGGATGTTTTCCTCTTGCAAACTGAGTGACTCAAGAATACTGAAAAAAAGGATGCTATCTGTTCTAGTTTAAACTAAGAGCTGCTATCTCAAATGTTTCTATCTTTTTGTCTGCTTGGGATACCCTGACACCTTTTCTCATACTGAAGCTGACGACATGGGGTATAGGATGGACACCAGAATGTGGCCTGGAGCAGCCAAATACCAGTAACAATTTTGTTTTCACTTCTCTTACTTTTTAGTATTTTGCATACATACTGAGTAATCACACAGTACTTAACTGCATATTGTAATTGCAGTACCCTTATGATCTTTGAGCTCTGTGATTTTTCATCCCAACTCTCACATATAAATTTTATTCAATCCTCACACATGTTGTGTGAGTTAACCAGGCAAAATATTTACCAGACTGGTAAATCCCTCTCTTCACCTGAACCTTTATTAAAAAGCTTTCTATTTTTAAAAATAATGAAGAAAAAAAGAAAAAAAAAAAGTGTTTGCATACATCAATCCCTGATATAGAATTATCTACCTCCTCATTCTGGTTCAAAACACCCCCAATATTAAGTAATTTGAGAAAAATTTTATTTGCATAATCCCTATGCTCCCAAACCAAAGGTAGCCAGAATGTTTGAGACACAACTGGTAGCAAGGAAAGGCATGTAGCTTAATATGCACAGTGACTAAGAGTATAAAACCAAAATGGAAAAAAAGCCACTACTTCCCACCAGCCTTTTCAAGCACAACCCATCTCCAAGAACTACCATCTCTCACAATATGGGCTAAAATGTATTACAGGAATTCACTGATAAACTTCACCTTAAAAAGGAAACATACTGAATCTGACCCAAGCAATACCTGAGGACTGAGAATTTTTTTATTAGGGACTATGACTGCTGAGTCTCACCTGGAATGTCGTAGACTATCTTTTTTGTTCTTGGCAGTACACAGTGTGCATTCACAGCCTACAGCATGAGGTTTGGGCAAGGATATATCTTGCTTTAGCAGCATGGTGAGAATTTCATAGTTGTTCCGATGAGCAGCTAAAATGACTGGTGCCACATCCATGGTTGTTGAGTACTCTGGGTTCTGAATGCGTTCCATTAATTTCTGGAATAAAACACAGCAAGTGTCTAAATTTATTACCCACAGTTCTACTACAGTGCTTACATGTAAGGGGTTTTTTGACTGTTTAACAGTGAATCTGTTCTTCAAAATGCTTTCCCATGTTTTGTAACATGAAAAGAAGGAAAAATTTGCAGAAATATTCAAACACCTCTCAGATAAATACTGAGAAACAGACACAGAAATGTTTCTGATTTATTTACACAGAAAATCTGACATTCAATGCCTACCTTCTCCAATATATGTGTGATATTAAAAATTCTTATTTTGCTGTAATATGAGAAAAAATTATTTTATTTACTAAGTGCAGAAAAAATATCTTGAACGTGTCATACTCTGTCACACAGTACCTTATTCCTTCCCTTCCTCCATCTCTGGTTGTGTACTTTTTAAAAGTTCTCTGACAATTAAGCATTCCAAGTTAACTTTCAAGTGATTAATTTCAAGGCGAAGATCTGACATTTATAGATTTCCTCAAAAAATCCATGAAGCTTCAATACATGAATAAACCCCTTCTAGGTCAAGGCTGCTAACGAGCTTGCAAAGAGGCTACAAGAAAAGATTTATAACCACTGTTTTCATTCTCTTCCAAACTAGGCACCTATTAGCACTGGCAGGTATAAAGGTGCTGTATTCCTTAGGCCATAAAGCAAAACAATGTATTCCATCTTTCAGACAAATCAGGCTACAAAAATGATCCTCAGTGCCCAGGTTCTATCACCTCAGAGATGCAGAACTTAAGAACATTGTCTTAAATACCACAGCTACCAGAATACGATAGCCCCCACTCCCCAACCAAAAATCAAGGACTAACAACACTCAACCACAATGGTTGGTCTGGAGGATCTTTTTGGCCGGTGATTAAGTAGAATGTCCACAGCTCCCACCACTTCCGAGTCAATAGCCACCAAAAGTGCATCCGATGACTAAGGAAAGAAAACAAATCACATGTGAAAACAGCAGTAACGTAAAGCAGCATAAAGAGTCAAATGCAAGGCAAACTGCATTTTTTAATATACTATTTTAAATTTATATTTCAAGTACTAAAACAACGTTCTGCATTATTACCAGGCCAATGATCAGGATACAAATGCAGGCTGTCGTTCCAGGAGTTCACAAAGCCTCACTGACAATTTGTTTCATTGCACAAACAGCAAAAGAACAAACTGCAGAAATTGCTTTCCAGCAAAGACAATGCTGAATACTTGCAAAAATCAAGTTCTAAGGGACAGTTTCCTGTGGTACTAAAAACGTTAAAAGCAAGTGTCTGTGTGACACAGCTTGGGCCTATGGGATACTTCAGCCCTGCATTCGCAGTAGCTTTTCCTTCCCAGCTGGTAACTCCTTCTGCAACTTCTCCTAAGCTGAGCTAAGCAGCTTTTCATTTTCCCTTCAGTTGATATTATTCTTTTTAATTCACTTCCAAAAATTCAAATTTTCACTTTAAAAAATAAAAGACACAGCTTTTATTATTGCCACTGATCCAGGGAGGGGAAAGCTTGTTCTTTTATTCATGCCCAATATCAAAAATGTAGTAAGAATTGCTACTTCTCCCTGTCTTACATACTTAAACCATCATAGCTTCCACTCTCCCAGCAGCAACAGAGATGCTGCATACAGCTAAGGAAGCACTGTGGGTAGGGAACTATTCTGCCATCAAGCACAGATCAACTTTAATAAGAAAGCACTTGCAGAAATCCACATTTGTCTTAACTTAAAATCAGCTAATATAATGTGCATTTTTCTGTGTTACCATTGAAAAAGTTATTATACTCCATAGCCAAAGGGATATCTGCATTTTATACTTGTAATATGATGCAGTCACTATATACTGTTTATTTTGCTTAAAGATAATGTGTGCATTTTATCTGCTACAGGAATAATATTTAAAATAAAATTCAGACTTGTTCATATGATTGAAAATGTTACTTATACATTCATATATACCTACAAAAAAGTAAATTTTTGTGAAAAAAGCCCACTTTTGCAATTATTAAATGGAAAAAGAACTGAACTGCCTATAAAGGCAGATTGTATTCCCTTCCAAATTCTGACAGATTAACGGAGAACATATATGACTACACAGAAAATTTTCAATAACGTGTTGTATACCTGGCAGCCGTAATCCAAAAGGAGCTGTAGTATGTCCAAGTTTTCATTTTCAATGGTTATGGTAACAGCATTTCGTCCAAGCACATCCACACAATTTATGTTCATTTCCCCTGAGCTGTTTTCCTCCAGGAGTTTCTTAACCATGTAATAGTCACCTGCACAAGTAACACATGGATATCACTCTGTATTATCATAAAGCATGTGAACATTTTAAGTACCAGCTACCCACAAACAAGAGAACATTCCATAGCTGACAACAAGACACTGAGAGACAAGCAAGAAGTCAAGGTAAATAACCATTCTCTCATCAGGCAAAAAACTAAAGATTTACATCTTTTCAGGAAAGCAACAGACATGTACTACATCTGTGCCCTTAGTTCCAAACACACACAAAAGCACGGGTAGCTTTCTAAACTGTCTCTGGGGTAACCCATTATTTTGCAGCATAGAAGACCATGATCAAGACAGACCTTAGTGTAGAATACTTACAGAAGTATAACTAGAATACTTCTACGTGGAATAAAATACATAAAGAGCCTCCAAGAGCACTGAATCAGCTGTTATATGGACAACTAGGTTTCCTACATTTTTTGTCGTGCATCATTTAACATCCCTCAGCCCCTGCTCATACTTAAGAGACCACGCTGTGGCTTCATCCGATGTTCGGGACAGACTTCACGGGCAGAGCACAGTTCCTAAGCTCGCTGGCTGATGTCACCGCAGAAATACTCCCACGGGTGCGAGCAAACCTAAACTCAGGGCCAGCACACTTGTCAACACCCCACAGCCGTGCCTGTGAACCAAGCACGAAGGACTGCGCAGCTCATCAGTCAAAGCCAATCTCAGAGTCCAACATTTCAGACGTGTTCAGTTTTATTTAAGACCAGATTTCTACTCAAGGGTAGCTAAATACAGGCATAAAGAAGCATATTTTAGAATGGAAAATCTCTGCCCGCCCACAACGACGGGTACAAATCGCAGGATATCGGTCGCGCTTATTGCGGTGATGTTAAAATAAACCCCGATTTTACAGCAGGTCCACACGCACAGGCTCTTCTAACAGCGAACGCAGCAAATAAATACCTTACGAACTGCTCCGGCACAAACCGAACTCCCTCAGGAGTTATTTCCCGGCAGAAGGAGCCGGGGCCGCCGGCTCTGGGACAGCGGGAGGCGGCGGGGCCGGACCCGCTCGGGGGTCCCGCCGCCCCCGGCAACAGGCGCGGCCATGGCGGGGCTGACCCCCGGCGCCGGCGGGCGGGGGGGCTCGGGCCCTCGGGGCGAGCGGCCGAGGCCTCGCTGGGGGGGTCCGGGCCGGTACCTTTGTCGCAGGCCAGCAGGAAAAGCTTCTCATCCAGCGTGGTCTCCTCCTTCACCTGCCGCACGTCCTTCAGCGCCAGTAGCTTGTTGGGCGAGGCCGAGGCGGACGGGTCCGCGCTCTGGTACAGGGCGGCCATGGCTCGGCCAGGCCCATGCGGGCGCGGGCGGGGCGCTGTCGCGGCGCGGTCCCCGGTGCCCACGGGCCCCGCGGGCAGCGGGGCAGCGGCCCCGGTGCGGTCACCCCGCGGGCGGGCGGGCACGGGGCAGGGCCGGGCCGGGAGGCCGCTCCCCGCCGCACTGCGCAGGC